CCAGCCTGGGCTACCAAGTGAGCTCCAGGAAAGGCGCAAAGCTACGCAGAGAAACCCTGTCTCGAAAAAAACCAAAAAAAAAAAAAAAAAAAAAAGAATGAAACCCACTGGATGATGGTGGCACACACCTTTAATCCCAGCACTCGGGAGGCAGAAACAGACCAATCTCTAAGTTTGAGGCCAGCCTCGTCTACAAAGAGAGTTCCAGGGCAGCCAGAGCTATTACACAGAGAAACTCTGTCTCAAAAACAAAACAAAAAAACAGAGACCCTATCTCAAATAATGTACTCACACATTTTTAAAATTTATTTTTATTTTACATGCATTGGTGTTTTGTTTGCATGTATGTCTGTGTAAGGGTGTCAGGTCCCCTAGAACTGAAGTTACAGAAAGTTGTAAGCTGCCATGTGGGTGCTAAGAATTGAACCCAGATCCTCTGGAAGAACAGTCAGTGCTCTTAACTGCTGAGCCATCTCACACATTCGTTATTGATGTTTTATTTTATTATCCAAACCATACAGTAACAGAAAAAGTCTTTCTACTGTAACAGGGCCCCAGACCTTAGCACAACTGACTCCATGATGGAAGTGTCTTTCAGGCTGTAAAACTCAGCACATAGACAGCACCACCCACCAATAAATAAAAACAAAGACCTAATCCATCACAGTCCCTAGTTCTGGGCAAGTCTCTAAATGTACTAACCTTGCTTTTTGGCTTCTGTAGTTCTGGCTAAGTGTTCTTGTTAACTGAAGTATATTAATCCAGGAGATGGCTTTTGTGTTTTAGGGGAGATAAGCTTAGGATGTAATTAGGAATTTAGAATGTGAACCTTATGTGATGAGACTTTGCATAATAAAATATAACTTTTGTTATACTAACTACGAGTACTTCTTGCTTGCAACATAGAAGCAGGCAGAATTCTGTGAGTTTGAGGCCAGTCTGGTCTACAGAATGAGTTCCAAGACAGCCAGGGCTACACAGAGAAACCCTGTCTTAAAAACGAAATAACTTTCTATTAGCTTAAACCCATAAGGCTACCCAGGAAACCCATTCTTCTCCGGTGAATACCCCACAACACTGCATTACACATCAAATGCAAACTCTTTTTGCAAATAACAAAACTCATTTAATGTTAAAAAAAAAAAAAAAAAAAAAAAAAAAACATTCTAGAGAGGAACCAGGGCCAGCGAGAGGGCTAAGTTGGTAAAGCCTTGCCAAATGAGCTTGAGAACCTAATTTCCGTCACCAGCGCCCACATAAAAGCGCCCTGGAATTGGGGCTACCGGCACCCAGCGCCGAGGAGTGCTAGAGCACCAGGCTCAGGGCCCTAGGGGAGCAGTCGGGGGGGGGGGGCGACAGGGGGAGGACACAGGGAGCCGGAAGTGCGGGCTCAAGCAGCTGGCGCACTTCCAAGCCGAATTCCAGTCCGGCCTTTGACTCCCTGCGTGCGCATGCGCACACACTCCTACTGGCGCACTGCGCTCACACAACCGTGACTCAGCCAGTTCAGCCCTCTAGGGTGGTGAGAAAAAAAGACAGCTGAGCCTGTCGGTGCCAGGTTGTAATCGCTGTTCAGGGAGGCAACTTTAAAAAGCAGAACAACTTAGCAGTGGGTGAGATTTTTCAATCCACAGCGCGCCAAAGAAAAATTATCGCGATATCTGGGAAGGCATCCACGCTCTGCGGTAAGATGGCAACACCAGAGACTGTGATTCCTGAAAAACTGAGCCACAAAAAATACAGGGCTGCCCTGAGGAAGGAGAAACGCAAGAAACGTCGGCAGAATATGGCTCGGCTGAGAGACCTCGCAGCCCCACCGGAAGAGGAGGAGGAGGAGGTTTCTACTGAGGAACAACTGAAAGAGAAATTGTTGGAGCTGGAGCGACAAAAACTCCACGAAGAGTGGCTGCTGAGGGAGGAGAAGGCACAAGAAGAATTCAGAATAAAGAAGAAAAAAGAAGAAGCCGCTAGAAAACAGAGGGAAGAACAGGAGAGGCGGATAAAGTTGGAATGGGAAGAACAACAGAAAAAACAGAGAGAGGAGGAGGAGCAGAAGCTCCAAGAGAAGAGGGAACGAGAGGAAGCGGTGCAGAAAATGCTGGACCAGGCTGAAAACGATGGCACCTGGCAGAACCCAGAGCCGCCCCGGGAACTGCGCCTGGAGAGATCCCGAGCCAGCTGCCCCTTCTACAGTAAAACGGGAGCGTGCCGCTTTGGAAACAGGTGCTCACGGAAACACGACTTCCCCACGTCCAGCCCCACCCTTCTTGTGAAGAGCATGTTTACAACATTTGGGATGGAGCAGTGCAGGAGGGACGACTATGACTCCGACGCCAGCCTGGAGTACAGCGAGGAGGAGACCTACCAGCAGTTCCTGGACTTCTACCATGATGTGCTGCCCGAGTTCAAGAACGTGGGGAAGGTGATTCAGTTCAAGGTGAGCTGCAACTTGGAGCCTCATCTGCGGGGCAATGTGTATGTTCAGTACCAGTCGGAAGAAGAATGCCAGGCAGCCCTCTCTCTCTTTAATGGAAGATGGTACGCGGGACGACAGCTTCAGTGTGAATTCTGCCCAGTGACCCGGTGGAAAATTGCAATTTGTGGGTTATTTGAAATGCAAAAGTGTCCAAAAGGAAAGCACTGCAACTTTCTTCATGTGTTCAGAAATCCCAACAATGAATTTAGAGAAGCTAACAGAGACATCCACCTGTCTCCAGCTTGGACTGGCTTCTCTGGTAAAAACTCAGACAAGAAGGAGAGGAAGGACCACCATGAGGAATACTATGGCAAGGCAAGGACTGCCCACTCTAGTCCACACCACTCCTCCAAGAGAAACAGGGAGTCAGAGAGGAAGAGTACTCACAGGAAGAAATCTCACAAACAGGAAACAAGGGGTCATGAGAGGCACAGTTCAAGAAGAGGAAGAGAAGAGGACGACAGTCCAGGCCCACAAAGCCAGAGCCACAGATCCTGAGCCAGGCTGAGACAGCATCACTTGGGCCCTAGAACCTGGGACCAGGCAACAACAAAACTCCACTACAGAATTAAAAACCCAACCCAGTCTCTTTCAGACACCCCAAGATATTCAAAACAAAACTGATTACAAAGGAAAGGCATGGTGACGCCATCTAATTCCCAACCAAGTGACAATCTTGTGGCTTTAACAGAACCAGGTATTCATTGTTCCTTAGTCTTTTGCTGTTATAATTCTTAGTTTAATGTTATTGGTGTTATTTCCCATACAGTTTAAACTAGCATTCATATGTTGAGTTTTCTTGTGATAATCAAGATTACATTAAACTGTGATGTTTTATTATACTTACTAGTATATTAACATTATTTTTATAGCCTTTGAATATGTTTTACTAAAAAAGAGCACATAGGAGTACACAACACTAATGTCCCTTGTTTTTAGACAGGTTCTCACTATGTAACCCTGGCTGGCCTGGAACTTGCTATGTAAACTAGACTGGCTTTGAACTCCCAAAGATCTGCCTGCCTCTACCTGTCAGCTGCTGCTGGGATCACAGGAATGTACCACCACCTCATCTAAGAGTAATTTTTTTTGTTTGTTTGTTTGTTTGTTTGTTTGAAACTAGGTTTCTCTGTGTAGATTTGGATGTCCTGGAACTCACAATGTAGCCCAGGCTGGCCTCAAACTCACAGAGATCCACCTCCCTCTGCCTCCAGAGTGCTGGGATTAAAGGCGTGTGTCTTTTTTCTTCATTTTTCTTTGTTTGGAGGCTTAGGGGGGAGTGTGTGTCTGTGTGTGTCTGTGTCTGTGTGTGCTTGTCTGAGTGCTTTAACCTGTGAGCCATCTTTCCAGCTCATAATGATCTTTTTTAATCCAATCTCAAGTCTTGAGAACAAGTTAGTGAAATTTTTAGGTATCTACCAAGTAACCAACTTCTAAACATAATTTACACATATTACTTCCAAATACTAACATGGTAAATTTAAGAACAGATGTTTAAGTATTGAGAGCTGCTGGTAGTGCAAGTCCGTGAGAGTGTACAGCAGTGACAGCTAGAGTTCAGAAGGCCAACCGATCAGAACTAAGGGTTCTATTAGAGGAAACCATCACGCAAGGCGTTATGGAATTACTGCCTTTTGAATGAACTGGCTGTCTCTTGTTGTAAACTTCTTGTGCAATAACAGCTATGATTCTCCCCATTTACCGTGCATCTCCATGTTATGTGTACACGTGATCTCACGACTGCATCTCAATCTTGGGCACAACTTTCCCTATACATTTGGGGTAATTGGACAACTGTCCCCAGCTGCGTTTATTTTTCATTAACATGTATCTGGCCAGGGCCATTCTCCAGACAAAAGTATTTCAGCAAAGATACCTTTTTCCAAGGACAAAACTGCACACAGGTAAACATTAGCTCATAATTCAGCTAAGATACCTTTTTCCAAGGACAAAACTGCACACAGGTAAACATTAGCTCATCATTCAGCTAAGATACCTTTTTCCAAGGACAAAACTGCACACAGGTAAACATTAGCTCATCTCACTCACAGATAGAGAAAAGAACCACTAACAATTAAATCCTCAACTCCTTACCTTCACCCTGGGTTATTTACACAAGACCCTAACTTAAGAGATTTACTGCTCACATACCTGGGATGATGTTTTAGCCCCTTGCTAGTTACTGAGTTAAGGCAGTTACTTCCCACTGACCCCAGGAGATCAAGGCCAGGCAGGTGATAGGTGCCAAGCTTCTTTCTTGTGCAAATTAAGTTCTTATTCCTCCTCAGCCAGGTGCTATTCCTAGATTTTCTCCTCAGCAATTACTCTGAATGAAAGTGCTGTTACTAACCAAATACTGCATGCTCTGACATCGGTTGCTTGGCCACCTAGCATATGTCCCCCTCCCTATCAGAAAGCAGCTGCAGCCGGGATGAGCGGAAAAAGCGGCACCAAAGACAGTTTACTTTCTTGTGACTTACTGACCACTAACATTCTATCTAGTCATTTCTAGATTATAGTTTGAGCACATAAATTCCCTAATTGATCTTAGCCTTCAGTTGACCTTACCAGAGAGCTCCCCTTCAGTCACTCCCCTTTTGGGTTGTAATTGGAAGCTGACATTTATTGCTTTATGTGTGGGTCCTTATCACCTCTCTCTGCGACCCTGAAAACTTCAAGCCTCACACTGCATTGCTTTACCAAAGAACTACTGTGTGGGTATACTTACTGGTTCTCTGAGAGCACTGGGAATAGGATGGATGGAGAAGAGCAAAGATGAGGATGGAGATGGAAAGAACTAAGTAGAATGATGAGAGAACAGCAGAAGGAACTGAGAGCAGGAGGGACAGAGAGGAGCTAAGTAAGAGAGCAGAAAAGAAACTGTGTAGATAGAATTGACTGAGAAGAATAAAGTGAATGGACTAAAGAACTCAATGTTCTTAGGTTCACTGAATGTCCCTCAGATTAGAATCCTCAGCTGGTTGGTAGACTCTTCCGCAGACCCTGGGAGCAAACAATATAGGCTGGACCTATTGTTTGCATTATTTAAGGTAAGGGTTAGCATCTTTATGTAAATGTTCAGATGTTAAATACTTTAGGCTTTTAATGCCAAATAGTATCTGTCACAGCCACTGTTATTATATTGGCAACAGCTGCTACAGATAAGCAAATGAATGAGCAGTGGCCATGTTATAGCAAAGCTTTATTTGTCAAAACAAGAACAATGGAGAATGTAACTGAGTTGCAGCACACTTGCCTAGCATAGCCATGACCATGGGTTTAATAACTCATGGTACTACCAAACAAAGCTGTAAGAACAATAGGAATGGGCATGTGGTGAGGAGCATGGGGGCATCAGGCCAGATTAGTCCTACAGCCATAATCTGCCACCCCTGACTTATTTTCTGTTCTCCCCACACAGAAATTGTACTTTCACATTGCCCAAGCTAGCTCTAAACTAAGCTCACAAGTCTCCTGTCTCAGCCTCTCAGGAGTTAGGACTACAGGCATATGCCACTGTGCCCAACTCTGGTTACCTTCTCAATGCAGCTGGCACATTTAAGCACTATCCATTCATTCAGATGTTCTATGAATGTCTACTAAGTACCTATCACATGCCTGAAGAAATAAGTGTTAAAGAGGGAAAATAATAAAATTCTGCCTTCTTTACACATGTACACACTAGTAAGGATATTATAAAAATTCAGATAGTATTATTAATTCTTCATACCAAATTATAAATGTGAGCTGAAAAAGTTAGACAATGTGCTGTGACTGGTGGTACACACCTTTAATCCCAGAACTCTCTGTAGATCCGAGGCCAGTTTGATCTACATAGTGAGTTCCAGGCACACAGTGACACCCTGTTTCAAAAAACCAATAAATACAGGCTGGAGAGATGGCCCACTGGTTAAGAGCACTAACCCACATACCATGACTACTTTATTAATTTCACAATTCTTTGGGCACTATCCAGAAATCAAATATAGTGTGGGGCCAGCAAGATAGTTCACTGGTTAAATGTGCGTGCAGCCAAACCTGAAGATGGAAATTTGATCCCTGGAACCTATGTGGTGGAAGGAGAAAACTGACTCCTCCTCCTAAGAGTTGTCTTCTGACCTCCACATGTGCACCATAGTGTACACACACACACACACACACACACACACACACACACACACACACACACACCATGGCGTGAATGAATGGTCTGCTTCACATATCCATAAGCAGATGAAATGTTTGCCCCTTTGTGATTAACAGGTAAAGCTAGAGTGCTAATGTTCCAAACAAGGAAACTGTTGTTCCATTCTACAGCACAAATGTCAGGAAAACAGCACATAACATTTAGAAACAATGTGAAAATTAGGAATCAGAAACATGGTGCACAACACACTGCCAGGTAGTTGGCAATAAGGAAACTGTTACCTGGGGTCAGGCTTGGGTTTAGCTCAGCATTACAAGCTTACCTAGCAAGAACAAGATCCTGGGTTTGATCCTCAGCACATCAAAAGAGATTGCCAACGAGTGCCCACTGTGTTCTCTAGGAATTCCACATTTCCTCTGTTCTGTCCTCTGGGTCTCCGTTTCTATGCAGAACATGATTTTCTAGGTGAAAGACACGAGGTCTACCACCGTCTGTGTTAGGTGAGCAGGACACGAGGTCTACTGCCGTCTGTGTTAGGTGAGCAGGACACGAGGTCTACTACCGTCTGTGTTAGGTGT